TTCACTGGTCAGATTAGCCCTGCGGCTAGTAGTCGCACGACCTGTTCCTCTATGGCTTTCAGCTTGTCGCCTGTGAAGCTTCTCCGCACTTGTTGCCTTGGTTCCGCGTTGGCGGGAACCGCGAGAGAATGTTGAGCTACTTGCCTCGGTACTCCCGGCATGTCCTCCGTGCACCAGGCGAACAACTCCTTGTACTCTTTCAGCAGTGCTATTAGTGGCTCAATCATGTCACTGTGGACCCTAGTTCCTGAGAATCCGACCAAGTTCCCTTCCGCGCGCTTGATTAGGCGCGGGTCAATGTCCATTTTGGTCGAGGGTGCTTTTGAGGAGAATATCCGCCGCGCTACCTCCGTCAATTAGCAGGCGATGAATTTTGCATGCGGCTACCAGCGCGGTAATGGTGAGTGAGTCTTCTGACGAGATTCCTTGGGGGAATTCCGCGTCGTCGAAACTTAGGGGGCACCTTAGTTGTACCTCCGCTGTCGCGCATTCCATTGCGGGCTCGCGTTTCGTCTTTTTGCTTGGGAGGCCTCCTTCAACCGTCACCACCCCTATTTCTTTCCGCACTAGGTACGCGCCAGTTGCCTCATCATAATCGGGTTGCGGGGGTGGTGGTGGATTTCCGCGTTATTCTTTATGCCCTTCCGCTCCTTGGATGAACTGGCACAGGAGTCCTCTTTGAATGAGGCCCTATATTTCATACCTCAGTTCCCTGCAGTCCTCAGTTAAGTGACCCGTCTCCCTGTGAAATTCGCAATGCTTACTTGGGTCGCGCATGTGTGGTGCAGCTTTGACAGGCGCGGGCCAGTTGATCTTATATCCTTTCTCGCGGAGCACATGGAACACGTTTTTTACAGAATCGTTGAGCGGCGTGTAAGCGGGCATTGTGTTTTGTGGGCGTCTGTCTGGTGAGCAGCTTCGCAGAGCTTGTTCTGGTGGGGCGAGCTGTTGTCTGGGCCCGCTATGCGACTGTACCAACTGCTCCCGCGACAATGGGAGCTGTTTCCGCCCCTGATCTTCTCTGGGCGGCTTGGAGGGTTCGAAACGCCTGATGGAACCCGCGCCTAAAGTTTCTTCCAGCGTGATGGCCTTCTCGATCTTGGACTCCAGTTCTGTCGAAAGCGTGACTGGCCTCTTTGACAAAGGTTGCTTGAGCTCCATGTTGGTAGTGGCGTCCATGAGGTGATGGGCGGCGGTCTTAGGGGTGAGGTCCCACACGACCATTGCTACCCTAGACCATCTGGCGTAGAACGCCCGCAAGCTTTCCCCATCCTTTTGCCTGATGTCAATCAAGGCCTTGAGGTGGAGTGGTCTTCTTTTTTGTGATGCGAACTTAGTGGTGAACAAGAGTATGAACTCTTCGAAAGAGAGGATGATTCCATTGGGAAGTCATTTGTACCAGTCGAGGCATATGCCGGAGAATGTCGATGGGAAGGTTCTGCATAGCGCCGCGTTGGAATTGGTCTGGAGTTGCATCATGAGGCAAGATGTGCTGACATGATCCTCCGGGTCAGTCGTCCCGTTATACATTGGGAGGGCGGGCGACATTCCGCTTAGGTGTTCCGCCATGATTTCCGCGCTTAACGGTTGATGGAGGATTCTTCTTGGTGGGTGAGGGCGGTATTGCGGGGATAAGTGTTGCTCCAAGAAACTGAGGTATGCCCTAGGGTGCGGCTCCGCTTGTTGCGCTTTGTCCTTGGGCAACGCGTTCGGCATTTGTTGTGGCAGTGGGATAGGTTCTGGCGCTTCACTAGCCGCCTGTGATGGCGCGTGGTGTTCCGTGTGGGTTGGTGGCGCGGCCTCCTTGCTCATCATGAGCGCTATGACTTGGTTCATCTTCTTTTGCATATCGGCTATGACTTCATTTTGCTTAGCCATTTGTTGCCTCATTTCTTTGGTTGTCAGCTCGGGCTCCTCTTCTTCAATGAGCACCGCGTTAAGGTTGCTGGTTTCCGCGTGCACTCTTGGGTTTGTCATCGCCTTGATGGGTGTTGCTTCATCAGGTGAGCTGGGGTTATGTTCCGCCATTGGTTGGTTTTCTACTGCTTCTCTACTTGACCCCACGGTGGGCGCCAATTGTTTGAGCCTAACTGAGTGTAGGAGTGAGACTCGGAGAAAGTGTGGAGAGAAGAGCAAGCAAGGAGAATCTCCAATCTGTTAATGGCTAAAAGTTCAAGAGAGTGAGGTTGAGAGAATGAGATTTCTAGAGAGAGAGGTCGATATGTTTAGTGAGAGAGTCGAAAGTCCGATCCCCCACCTGCCGTAGTAAATGCTCCTTTTATAGTACATTGCGGTGAGTAGATATTTAATGCGACAAGACCACTACGTGTGTCAGATATTTAGGCCATGCTTTAGGCCATAATTATACCTAGGACTAGGACTAGGCCATACTTATACCTAGGACTAGGACTAGGACGTGACCCTTCCTTCAGAGGATACGACACCGTTCTTCTCGGCTCTCTTTCCCCGTTTGAATTAACCGAAACGACGGCGGCTTGGGCAGGGCGAAACGACGCTGGCTTGGGTAAAGTGAAACGACGATGGCTTGGGCAAAGCGAAACGACTCCGTCTAGTGCTTCCGTCACTCGCGAACGCGTCTTTACTCGCGGGGGGTTCACTGGGCCATCTTACTCGCGCGACTGGATCAGAGCTATATCCCAACACTTTGTCTTTGAAAAAAATGAGATACCCTTGTGTTTACAAGAAGGTTGGTGTGAGAAATGATGTTTTCCTTATTCTATGTGTGAATGACATATGTTGATTGGAAAAGACATTCCCATGGTAGAGGCAACCAAGGCTTGGCTAGGGAAATGTTTTTCCATGTATGTATTTCTGGTATTCTAAAGTGCCTTAAACAGTCTATGTATGTATTTCTGGTATTTAAAGTGGAAGACGAACTAGTGGTAAAGAGATACTCCAATGCTAGCTTCTAGACTGACTAGGATGGTTATCAATCCCAATTAGGTTACTTGTTTTGCTTGAATCGTAGTGTTGTGAGCTGGCAGAGTTCAAAGCAAGAGATAATTGCCAAGTTTACAACAAAAGCATAGTACATCTGAATCGCTATTCGTCGCCCTAAAATTCAAATTTTATCGCCCTAAAACGTAACAAATTGACATATTTATTCCTCAACCCAATTTCAATTCTAAACGTAACAAATAATATTCCCTGCCTCACCCCCAATCCAATTCCTCCATCGAAGAAGAAGGTGCGCCGGATCCCTGCTCCGACGCCTCCCTTCCTCACCCCCAAACCATCTTTTCTTCTTCTTCTTCGTTCGATTACTCTCCTGTGATGAATTTCCCAACTGAGAAAAGGAAAGGCCTTAGCTTTATACACACAACAAAGTGAATCGCTCAAAAAGGAGAAAGAGACTTGAGATCCATCTTTCGCCCCCCGGCGCCCAGTTGCAAAGCTCTGCAACCGAATAGTACAACAAATCTTTATCTGTGAACACCGAAAAAGTTCCTCTCTTTCTTCTAATTGTCAACAACACTAATCATCTGACCTCTGAAATGGGTGGAGCTAAACGTCCCAAGCCGAGTTCGGATCTAGCGAAATGCAAGCTGTTTTATGCGCCGATGGTGAAATTGCTAAAGAATCAACCAAGCCAGTTCAAAGCGGGCACTGCGGCACAACATCAAGCCAATTACAGCTACAGATGAACTCCGGACTCTCGACTCAATAAGGTGTCGCACGCTTTGGGGTGTTTCACCCTGAAAATCCGAAGTAAAAAAAAAGCCAATTTTCAAACCCCTGTTTTGCAGATCCTCCTGTTTTTTGATTGCTCGCTTCATTTTCCTAAATATATCGCTTAATTATTTTCTGTAAATTGTTAGGTTCGTTTTGTGTTTCGGTTTTGCTCTATGCTTTAATTGAGGGTTATAGAGTCAGCATCAGCGAGGGATTGTCAATGACGCCACCGGCCTGAGATTGAAGCTCTCCAGCGTGAACTTGGCATCCCACTTAAACCCATCGTTGCCTAGGGGCTCAACAGACTTCCCATTGACGAAATCGCCTAGAAGATTACTTCATTGGGTTTCAATTGCGTTCGCTTCAGGGGAAAGCAGAGGAAAAGGAGAATCAGTTAAGGACGGGGATGAGAAAAGAGAGGAAAGCTCTCTTCTTTGTTGTTTCTTTAATTTTTTTTATAAGTGCGATAACGTTGGTGTAGTATATGAGTTAATTTTCGATTTAAGTGTTTGTAAACAAATAAATGAATTAAGGGCATTAACGTAAATGAAATTTAATTAGGGCGACGAATAGCAATGCCCTAGTACATCTCCATTTCAAAGAAGAAACAATTAATGCTTTAGTGCGGTTTGCCTTGCATTGAATGGAGTTTGAAGTTTGGAATATGGCTTGCTAATGATGCTTTGTGTATGTTTTATATTTTAGACTGCAGTGTGTTTGATTATTGATGTAATTGAATTTGGAGGTTGGACAATGAATGTTTTGTTTGATTTTTGCTTGGATTTATGCTTAATGGTTGTCAACTTATTGTTTGCATTTTTTTTATGAATTGCTTAAAATTAAGAAATTATGACTATGTTAATTTACATTTTTTATTATTTACATAATCTCAAGAGCCCAAAGAAATTAGTGTCAAAATCAATTCGTCTAGCCCACCAGTCGCCCACAATTGTGGTTCCAGCCCACCAGGCCAGCCCACACTAAAGTCCTGACCAGCCTTCACCAATTCGGTCTGTTCGGGAAAACCATTTCGAACCGAACTGATTTCGGGTTTCAAAAGGGCAGCACGCCAGCACCGTTTCCGTATTCGGTTCGAAATTGGGAGCAAGAATCCGTCTCCTTCGGTGCGGTTTAGACCGAATGGCCACCCCTTGGCCCTTGACGGCTTGACCCCGTTTCCGTACTCTCTGCTTTTTTCCTCTCCGGGAAAGGAAACCCCCCCAACTCGTTTCCAACCCTGCTTCACATATTTCTCCGACCGACGTTTCCAACCGTCGGAAAAGAACTTACCGTCTCAATTCTCTGCAATGGATGCCCTGTTCGACTCAATCAACGTCCGAGATCTCCTCTCTGCCGGCGACCTCGCGGACCAAACCTGCCCACTCTCCGCGCCTGATCTACGCCTCCTCATAACTCGTCTGGAGTCTCACTCGCTTCAGATCAAATCCAAAGTCCAATCCTACCTCCTCGCTCACCACGGCGAGTTCTCCTCTCTCTTCCAGCTCTGCAGCGATGCCGCATCCCGGACCGTTGAAATCGACCGGAAAGTTTCCGATCTCTCGACTCTCTTGTCGGACACTCCCGTGGACGTCGAAATCAGGGAGATTCTGGAAGAGCTGAAGCGGAAGCTGAGAGAGGCGAAGGTGAAGAAGGAATTGCTTCAATTAGTGAATGCAATTGTGGAGATTAGCGACAAGTTGAAAGGAGCGAAGGAGGGAATGAAGCATGGGCGGCTGCTAATGGCTGCCGAGGAAGTGAAGGTGCTGAAGGATGTGCTGAGGATCGGCGACGAGGAAGCAGGTGATCCTTTGGTCTATGGTTTGCTGAGGAAGGACTGGCTGTCCTGCTTTGAGGAGGTGAGAGCTTTGTGTCAATGTCTGGGAGTGAGATGATTGCTGTTTGTTGATTGTTTTTGCCTGTTCGATTTTTTATTCAGTCGCGTGTGATTGTGTTTTCTTAGATGAAATTGCATTTGGGTTTGTAGATGCAAGGCATGCTTGTCAAGTTGATGGAGAAAGCAGTGCAGCTGGAGCTAGAACCATGCAGAGTTCGAGTTCGGTCTCGTTTGAGTGTTGATGAACTTGAAGGAGTGGAACTCAGAGCTGTTTTACAAGCAATGGAAGTGAGTATATAACTTGTACATTCCACCTTTCTTGTAGGTGGCCATTAATTCAGAATGCGAAAGCAATGTTCTGGATGCATCTATATGGTCACATTCTTGTATATGCATGCCCGTGAGATTGCCATTTCCCCCAACTTGTAAACTTGTTTTGCCGTTATGTTATACGTCGTGGGAAGCATTGATTTTTGCCAGAATTCCTTCCTGACTTCGTTGTTGTGTTAATGGCCATGTAGGTGCTTGGAATTTTGGATTATGGGCTTGCTAAAGTAGCTGATAAGATGTTCAAGTTTGTTATCACACCTGCCATGAACTGTGGGACAGCCACTTCTCTTGCAGGAGATGTTAAAGAGGAGGCAGTATTGGAAATTATACCATCCTCTGATCTTAAGGTTTGAGCGTTTCTTTTTTTTATTTGGAACTAGGAGTTTGCTTTTATACATTGCCTTTTGATGTGATATTGGATAATGTCTAATCATTGCTTCATTTGGTTTTGCCTACTGCAATCAGACTGAAGATGTTGATGGTCAGACAATTTATTCCAGCATTCTTCAGGTTGTGAAATTTATTTCAAAATTCATATGCCTAGAAAAGGAATCTTGGGTTCAGTGTTTTGGAAGATTGACATGGCCAAGGATAGCTGAGCTGATTATTTCTAACTTCCTCTCAAAGGTTGGTTCTACCCTTCCAGGTCCTTTATCGGATTTCTCTTTTCCTTACATCACCATTACAGTGATTAGTAGTTTATTCTCGCGGTTCTTTTTCCACACAAAATTTCCTTCAGGACATTATTGCAAACACTTGTATCTAAGACTAAGTAGGCTTACTATTTGTACAATTGCAGAAGCTCTTCTCTCCATGATGTTTACCATTTTTCAAGGTTGGGTAGTAGAGTATTTGATTCTAGTGACTTATTTTTAAGATAATTCCTTCCAGGAAAATGCAGTTTAGATTTTCCATCATATGTATCCATCTGGACGGGAAATGCAAAATTCATGCCTTCGGTTATTGGTGCAGTATTTTTTGCGCAGCAATAGTAACAAATTCTTTGTAACTTTCTTTCAGGCTGTTCCTGATGATGCTTCAAAACTGGTTGGCTTTCAGAAAATCGTGAAAAACTCCTCAGAGTTTGAAAATGCCTTGAAAGAACTTAAGTTCATTTCAGCTTTTGATCAGTCAGACCTAAAGTTAAGCAACTTTTCTGAAAATGTCGAACTTCATTTTGCTTCTCGAAAAAGGACTGAAATATTGGCGAAGGCTAGAGATTTGCTCTTACATTGTGACTTCTCCATTCCTCAAGTAAGTTCTCCCGAACTGAGAAAGGCAGTAATATCTTTTCCCAGCTCTACATTATAAGCTTTTAATACCTAAATCTTAATCAGGAGTTTATGAGAAAGAGTTCTCAATCAACAAATGGAGCAGGAGTAGCTGCAGAGCATATTGATCGTCTTGTTCATTTGCTTTTCATGTCCGAGAGGTGTTTGGTGTCCAAAGCAGCTTCACAGCTGATGGCTCTAGTTCATCAGACACTCAAGGTACGTTGCTAAGAAAGAACTGTATCATTGAGAGCTCCTTTCTATTACATTTTGGGAATTTTTTTGTCAGAGCTTGACTTTCTGCTTTCCTTGACAAATCATGTTTCAGGATGTTTGCTTGTCATCTCCAAAGGTTGCACCTGAATTTTATCGTGCTGCTAGGGATGCAATACTTCTGTATGAAGCAGTTGTTCCTGTCAAGGTTAGCCGTTATTACTTGTCATAGAGATCTATCTTCTTATCTGTTGCTGTTTGGAGAATAATATTTCATCTTCATCCTTTCATTGTCTGGAAATGGTTCTCTTTATGTCACCACTTTTTTGTTTCTAAATGATGACGATGATGCTAACTTGGAACTTTTACTCATGAAGCTAGAGAGGAAGCTGGATAACTTCAACCAAGTTGCTGTTCTGATGCACAATGACTGTCTTTATCTATCACAAGAAATACTCGGATTGGCATTTCAGGTATGCATGGTTTGACTCGACACAGTATACAGTTTTAAACTGAAGATTTTTATTGATGCTGAAGTTTATATTTATAGAGCTGGGAGGTGTATTAGGGAACTAAGAGCAAGTTTATCCCATTGAATTATTGTCTTGCCACAGTATCGACCAGACTTTCCAACGTCAATCAAAGAACATGCAGTTTTCGTCGACATGGCTCCAAGGTACTATGTAATGGCCGAGGAGATACTGCAGCGACAAATTCAGCTCGTCATTCTTAATTTGAAAGAGGTAATTATATATAGTTCAGTGGAGTGTCATTGGTATATGAGCTTTGGACAGAAGTTTGTGCACACATCCAATTTTTTTAATCCACACAAACAAACTCTGCTTACACTTGTTCTCAGGCTATTGATGGAGCCGGTGGTTTTCAGAATTCTCATCAGATGCAACAGTTTGAATCTGCAAAGTTCAGCATAGATCAGGTGGTCTTTGTCCTTGAAAAGGTACGAATTATATGGGAGCCACTCTTGCTACCTTCAACATACAAGAAAAGCATGTGTGCGGTCCTAGAGTCGGTTCTTTCCAGAATCACTGTGGAGATACTCCTTCTAGATGATATGGCAGCCGAGGAAACATTGGAGGTAACTAAAAGCCTGGCCTTCATTTTGTACCAGTTCTGAATTGGGAGATTCTTGCTTCCTTTCTGAGATAGTATATATGCATTTTAGTAACACCATCCAAACGTGTGTGGTGGAATAATAATAATACATTGCCACAGCTCCAAAGACTAATCCAGCTAATGCTGGAAGGGGTGTCTCCTTTGCTGGATTCCCTGGTTTCTGCGGTCGTCTTCGAGAATAAGAAGCCTGAAGAAGACGACTACTCCCCCAAAGATTCAGTTGATGATCTCATTCCCTCTTTACGCAAGATCCGCAAGCTTGCAGGCAAAGTTTCTTCAACTTTACTTTACCTTGTGATACCACTAGTCTGTTCTTCCCAAAGTGGAAATCCAAAACTGGTTTCTAAACCCACATTAACAACTTTGCAGAATTACTGGACCTGCCTTTGAAATCCATTACTAGTGATTGGGAAAGCGGAGAACTTCATAGATGTGGTTTCACAAAGACTGAGGTACGTGTATGACTTCTGAATTAGGAGTTTGGTTTCGTGTTTTTGTTTTCATCATCTTCAAACCATTCTGCGTTTCCCCCATTTGCATTTTGATTAATGTCGGGACTTATAAATCGCAGGTGGTAGATCTAATCAGAGCCATATTCACTGATACGCCTTTACGTAAAGACTGCATAAGGACGATCAGTAATGTAAGCCCGTATTAAGTTCTTTAGCAAGGCCAAGGGTAGGAATCTTGAACCGGTATTTTTTTTCCAGTCAAAAGAGAAGAATTGGGGAGCTGGTTTTCTGGAGGTTTAGTTCCATAGATTTACGCAGGAAGCAACTGGGGTTTGGCTTCTGGCACTGATTGACGACGGCTGGGCGAATTTACATCACCTACTGAAAATCAAGTATAAATTAGGAGTCTCCATTTGGTCTTTTGCATTGTACATTATACTGCTGCAGAGCCATACATCCCAATGTGCTTATCAATACTTGGTTTAACCGGTAATCAATTGGTATAATCTAATATATAGTATTACAAACAGCGTGAGAAAGAAACAATCTACAACCCGAGTTCTTGCGACAAAGCCCCCTTATACCATGATAATTTTTTTGGTATAATATAATAGAGACAAAATTATGTTGTATTGTGACAAATTAGACGTACCATAGTAGATCAGATTCGTTGTGCCACATCAAGTGCTTGAAAAATAATCAATGTCGGTTCCTGTATTCTTCTGTGTTTAATGTTTATACAATAGCTACTACGCACTAGCTGAAATTTTTGGCTGACTATGCTGTAACTAGATACATGCATGACGTGGAACAAAATAAGGAATCATATATAGCAAGAAAAAAGATTTTTTGGCTGGAGAGAAAAATAAAGTTGAAAGTGGAAATGCTTTTGATCCATGTACTGGGTCGAAACTAGCAGCTATGGAGGAGGGTATAGTTGGCGTTGCTACTTGCTGGCAAGTCCAAGGGATATGCTTTGGGAATGGGGATTGAGTTCATATATACTAGCCTGGAAGCCCGCGCTTCGCGGCGGTAGCATGGATAGTTATTACATAATAATTTTGCTATCATTCTGGTTTATATGTCATACATAACAAAGAAGAACAGAGGCTTTGCTTAATAGAGTGATATCCTAATTGAAAACTTGAGAAACACATTGTTCTATGCTTTTTTTCTCATCCAAGCATACCCGATCCTTCAAAACTCCGGCTCAAGATAGGGTGCATAACCATGGGTTATGCATCCATCAATAACCAAATCTGGACCCTTCATTTAGAAAATCCAGATCTAAGGATGGAGAATTAAAGATCATTTTTATTTTATCTAGCTTTCTTAATCGGCTCATATCTTTTTCGTTTTAACTCGGATTTTAATTTTTTTTTTTGCACAGGTGGAACGAGTTCATCGTGCTCTACAAAATGAGATCAATTTTCAATATTTTTTTAGAACAAAAAATTCCGACTTCTCGGTACCAACTGCATACCATATAATATTTTCTTCATTTTTAATTCGTTTTTGAAAACGTTTGCACAGAAGGGACGAGTTAATCATGATCTATTGGATCTACAAATTTCTGGGTGAACAAATTACAGGACCAAAAAATACCACACAATACCATACAATACCACCCTGGTACGGGGTGGTATTGTATGGTATCTTCTTCGTTTTTAATTCGTTTTTGAAAACGTTTGCACAGAAGGGACGAGTTCATCATGATCTATTGGATCTACAAATTTCTGGGTGAACAAATTACAGGACCAAAAAATACCACACAATACCATACAATACCACCCTGGTACGGGGTGGTATCTTGTGGTATACAATGTTAAAAGTCATAAATGACAATTAATATATTTATACTATCATGTATTCAACCATCCTACAGTCTTGGTTTGTTCATATCACCATGATACTTTTTCAAACCATAGGTATGCTTTTATTTCAATACCAGTCAATACCATATGGTATAGACTGATAAAAAATGGCTCAATTTTTTTTGTTCGAAAAATATATTAAAGTGGATATCCTTTTGAAAAGCACAATTAATCTGATCTAACTGTGCAAAAAAAAATTAAATTTCGACTTACAATGAGCGGGAAATCGTCTGTCAAAGATTAAAGAGGGGAAAATTAAAGGCTTTCCAGGAGAGAGGATGCTGATGTCATGCTGATGTGGACGGGTTACTCATGGTTATTCACCACAAGGTTACTCACCGGATCTGCTCCCCAAAATTCCACCAAAACCATGACAAAAAGAGGAAACCCATTTGCTCTTTGGCATCAAACTTGCATTTAGCTCTCTCACTACAAAATCTGCAAATGGATCAGCAAATCAGTTCCAAGCACTGCAAATTCAACAACAACCATTAAAAACGAAAAGGAAGAATCTAATGCATCCATTGCAGACAAAATTGGTTGAATTGTATAAGTACTATTTGAAGGAGAACAACACTTCAAATGACAGCAATAGTATAATATTGCCAACACAAATACATCATAGAAATAACAACGTACATTCTTTGCTAAGCAATACTATGATATAGAAAAACTGACATCACCATTAGTCTTTTTAAAAGGTTCATACTAATTACACATGTAGAGAGAAAAAGTTATAGACTAATTCTAAATATACAAATAAGATATTTTAAATACGAAATCAAATTCCTTGCCATCTACCTCACTATTATTATACTTCCAACTATGGTATCTAATATTTTCATGTTTCTGAATTCACCGAGGAAATATCGTTCTTTTACCATTGCTAAATGGATCTTCTGGATAGAAGCAAGAACCATTCATATAAGTTCTGCAAGGAAAGCCAGTGTATAAGATAAATAACAAATTGATGACATAGTAATAATTCAAGATCAACGAAGCATGAACATGAGCCTAAAACATAATTTATACCTTGCATAATTAAAATTTCTTCGGATAAGCAATAGTTTCATACCTGCATTACTAATAATCGATGGCATAATCCAGTAGAAAATCACAAAGCTGGAAGCTCAAAACGCTTGCAAAGAGTTCCTCCTAAGGATAATGAGCAAATTCCATATCAAAGAAACACAATTCACGTGTTTGCAGCTGTTAAGTAGGATGCAGAAAAATACAGCAACAAAAGTAACTCTCTATAACAATAGCATCCTAGATTTGTTTCACATAAGTAAATAATTGTCGAAAATAAATTGTCTAATGTCTACCATTCAAAATTTGTTTTACAGTATATAATTAATAGAATACACAAAATTTTACCTCTTATATGCTGGCTATCATTATAGATCACACCCAGAATAAAGATAACTGATATTTGTAAAATGGCTCCTAGAAAAACAATATATGTATTAGAAAAAATAGGACAATAAATTATAGAACAGAGTATATCGGACAAAATATAACATACCAATAATTTCAACCCAAGGAAGTTGTAGCAGATTCTTCAAGTTCAGAAAAAGTTTCTGGATACACAATGTTTCATGTGTAATTGGATGGAATGCCTGCTTCATTAAGGATGAGAAAATGCAAACCAGCAGGGGACTTCACTCTAGAGATGGCTACATATAGTTGACCATGGCTGAAAACCGGCTTTGGTAGGTATACACCAACATGTTGTAATGTCTGTCCTTGACTTTTATTGATCGTCATCGCATAACACAAACGGACAGGAAACTGTCGTCGTTTCAACACAAATGGCCATCGATAATCATTAATACTGAGAACTATTCTTGGTATAGCAACAGTCTTCCCATCAAATGTGCCTCCCATTATAATAGCTCTGATAACATAGTTACCTAAGTAGACAACCATCATTCTTGTTCCATTACATAATCCAATTGAAGGATTGAGATTTCGCAACAATATGATAGGCGTGAACACCTTAAGATCAATCTGATGATCAGGATACCCATTAAAAGAAAGAGAATTCAGAAATTCAGTTGGATATTCTGAACTAATAGCTGCTGCATCATTTGAATCAGAATGAACAGTATCACAACTGAAATAAGATCTGACTGAACCTGGGACCATAGCTAGCATATGATCATTTAACTCTGAAACATTTTGATTCGTTGGAGTAACAATTGATCTTTCAGCAAGATATGATATACTGCAGTAATTTTCAGCAAATGCATCGCACACTACAGCAGCTATTGTAGATAGACAATCATCAGAAGGTTCAATAAGCAACTGATTAGGTATTTCAATCCAATATGCAGGTTGGTTGACTTGGAAAGATCTACCTGGAATGCTACCGTTGCCAACATTCAAAGTCCATTCTGCAAAAGACATCCCATCAAAAAATGGTTCTTCATTTATGCTATTTGGTAGAAGACGCATATTTTGGGATAGGTGGAGCACCGTGCAAAAATTCCACAGATAAGACCGAGTAAGAGAAGAATCAACACTATCTTCCCTACCGGCATCAGGAATAACTGGGAGCGTCTGACGAAAATCACCTCCAAGGAGCACAACTTTGCCCCCAAATGGTCTATAATCTGGTCCCTTGAAAGGAATGCTCATAATATCACACAGAGCTCGATCTACTGCTTCAAAAGACAGCCGATGAATCATTGGTGCTTCATCCCATATTATTAAAGAAGCATCACACAATAATTCAGCAAGAGCTGTACCTTTTCGTATATTACACGAAGAAGCATGATCAATCTCTAGAGGTATTTTGAACCGAGAATGAGCTGTACTTGCCTCAGGAAGTAGAGTAGCAGCCATCCCAGAAGAAGCAACCACAACAACACTTTTACCTAGTTCTTTTAACTTTCCCACGAGAGTTTTGTACAGAAAAGTCTTCCCTGTACCTCCATGCCCATACAGAAAGAAAAAGGTATTGTCATTACCTTCAATAGAATTCATCACCCTTGTAAATGCTCGCTTTTTGTTGAGGGTTCAAAAGAGTAATACTTGGGAGCAAGATTGATTCGGCTTTTTCTGCAGCAATAGAATTACCACAATCAACATTCTGAAAATTATCAGCAAATGGTTCAGCAAATGTTGGCAAAGGAAGGTTAAACTGGGAGAGAGAAGTAGAATATGTATCCAGCATGCGTTGTAATTCCCATAACAGCTTGTTCTTTGGCAGATCATTTGGAATGAGATTATTGTTGAAGCAAACTTCCCTTTGACAGTGATATGTGATATCTTCACAAAGTAGTTCCCAAATTTGATTGAAAAATGCCAAGGGATCTGCTATTTCACAAAACATAAGCATTGTTACAAATAAGTAACGTAACAACGGACACATTCCCCATTGGCTGACTTCTTTAATCACAAGTAACCATTCATCATCATTAGATAAAAGTCCAAGACGTTGACATGCAGTTTGAAAGTCTCTACATAAAACTCCATTGATAGTTCTGAGATCACCATAACTGACTGCACCACGAACTTTAGTCAACAACTGACGTAAATAGAATGTATCTCCACATCCAGGATGGATATACACAACTCTACCAATTGTAAAACCTTGTTTCCTTGGAAACCAATCCTTGTCTTTACAGCTCCATGTATATTTGTTTGGTATTTCTGCATATAACAGTGTGCGAGCCTGGGGATCTCTTCGATTAAGAGCAAACCATTGAGTTAATGGTGTTTGAGAAACAGTTGGATTGTTGAGAATATCATTCAATTTTCGTCTTTTTCTATATGAGACCCAATGCTTCCCTTCCAAATGAACACATAAACGCTGTACTGGAGGTGTTCTTTCATGAACAGGAAACTCGTAAATACGCCATGCATCCTCATAAGATGACAAAGTCCTGCAATCCAAATATTGCATGATTTCATCTAATGGTGGCCTTATATTTGGTACAGCAGAAGTGGATGCTACATCTGAAGCATTGTCAGCAACAACCATAGATCTATCCGGTCCTTTTGTAATATATTTAAATAAATATTTTATCAAACGACCTTGATGGCACACTTCAACATTAATGTGTGCTTGAAACAGAACAACCAAGTTTCTATTATAGGGCACAACAAATCTGTTATCCAAAATAGTTGTACCTTTAGTTGCTGTAATTCCTGTATCTCTCCTTCGGTAAACAGTATATCCATACTGATCCGTGGTTGTCTCCGAATTAAACTTTTAAGGGAAAAATTTGCTGCATAAGCCATCCTTCATACAAACTGAATTTGGATTGTCAGTACCACATGGACCATGCAACATGAACTTAGTCACAACTTCATAACCGATAGGATCCAACTGAGGATCAGGTAACTCAGCAGATATGGTAGAATCAATATCAGTCGGAGATATCAGTTTGCTTTTTTTATCTAACCATAACAGTATATGGACATGAGGGAGACCTCTTTTTTGAAACTCAATTGTCTTCAGTTCTGAATTGAAGAACAAAAAAAAAAAAATTGCATAAGAACAAAGTACATAATAACAGCTAAATATAACAAAGAGACACTATAGCATATCAACGTGTATTGAATATAATTACAAAAAATACAAAACATAAACTTGTAAATTAGGCAAAAGTAGCAATGACAAAATTTCAATAGGCTTAGTTCTACAAAGCAACGAAGTCAACAAAAACAACATACCTGCAACTGTTTTCCCAAAGAAATTCGACCTAGATATTTCATCTTCAAGAGCATTCAACTTCATCTTGAAGACTCGAGCAACAATTTGAGGCTTTAATTCACTTCGTGTTCCACATAAGTCACGAAATGATTCTGTAATTTCTGACCATTGAGAATTACACGTGAATGTAATAAACAGATCTGGATTTCCAAAATGATTGACGACAGCCATTGCGTCTAAGTAAAGTTGTTTCATATATCGAGGACCACCTGTATGTGAAGCTGGCAGAACAACATGACCACAATCATCACCAGTAAAATCACCACGCTCAAATGCATCAGCAAGACCATCAAACAATTCGGCCCGTAAGCCTTCCTGATTAGCTCGCAAATATGCTAGTCGATTTTGTTCAATAGTAGAGAAAGCATCAACTATATAATGCTGTAGAGCTTTACCACCTCGCATTAAAGTTTGCCCCTCATGTTCTTGATGCTGCAAACTTAAAGTAGCAGGAGCATACATTTCATCATAACTAATATGCTCATGAAAGCCATCCTCTCCATATGGAAACAGGATCGGAAAATGGAGAGCATCGAACTTAGGATTGAGACTGCTAATTCTTTGCAACCCATGAGATCTATTATCAATAATAATGTCACGGTCTGCCTTATCAGCAACAAAATCACCTGGTATTAAACCAGCAAGTTCAGATCCAGTGGGAAGATCATATTGCCTGGAAGAATTATCACGAGCACCAACAATTCGAAGACGCAAATTGTTTGCTGCTGGATCACGAAGCTGAGTTTGAATCCGACGGAAAGATTTAACCAGCTCATTCGTGACATCAAACAACTTCATCAAACCAGAAACAATATCTGGCCTTAACCGCGTTTCAGAAGATGAAAAATTTGCTAGAAGATCTGACAGCTCAGATTCAGGATAAAAAACATATAGTTGTGCATACTTTGGTCGACGACCTTCAACAGGAAGTAAAGATCCAATACGATGGTAATTCTCCCCACATATAGTGAATGAATACGGCCCTCTAGTGCGAGCTATTCGTGGGTCCAGTTGAGCTCCAAATGAAGTAAATGAAAATGCAGCATTATAGGAGCGTATATGATCTCTAAAATGTGCAGCCATAGGACCTCCATTGATTCCCAACAACTGTTCTAGATAATCTGGCGTTTTCTCCAAGAACGGCAGACGAACACGACCCTTTTGACAACACAATCCAAAGACAGGATTTCTAGTATAGTGTCGATTCAGACGTTCTTCAAACCAGAATTGAGCCCCATAAAATTGACATTCGCAAGATGGGATGCCGAAATCCAGAATCCTAACAAAGTTTTGTTGACGTGCTGGTGGAATATCAGGTGTCGACACATCATTATCATAAGGAAATACCTGTGGTGATTGACGATCTAAAACCGGTGATAATGGAACATTAGCTTCATGAACTGAACTTGAAACTGGAACTGAACCATCTTCATTTAACAAAGGAAACAGGCGAGATCGCCTATTGAATGGACAAACACGTCGCCTAACTGGAGTTTTCGAAGGAGCAGTGGAAGGACTAATAGCAGAAGAAAAACCATGAGACCGATTACGTTTCCAACGACACTGCCGACCAACAATAGGATCTGTTGCCTCAGGAATGGATGCCTAATATAAACAATAGACTGTAAGCATGTATACAATTACATCAATAAGAAGTTCTAAAATAGCTTTACAGAACAAACAAAGAAAAGAAGTACCATCAATTCTACAACCAAATGAAGACAGGCGTCTATAAGTAGGTGGCTTAAAAAGAATTTGAAAAAAACATACATAACAGTTATAAACGGAAACTGAATAATGGTAAGATATAAATGTATATATGGCTATTGTAACTACTTGTACAGAAGAAAGATTCTTCTAAGTTGTATGCAATAACTGGAAAGAAAAAGTGCATGCAAAGTAATAGAGAGAGAAGAAGAGGATATAATAACAATGACAACAGAAGATGTTAACCACTACACGATATCATCTCACTTTTTAGTATCTGCAACACTTTCTCATCTATAGCAGCTAGTTATACAGAGCACAAGTTCTTCTTACTTGCATGTAATAACTGCAGAGGAAAACACACATGCAAAATGATAGAAAAAAAATGAAGAAGAAGAGAATTTAAAGACAATGACATCAGTATGTCCTTCTATAGCAGCCGCCCTACTACTTCTTGTCTGCCATTATGTTCCCTGTATGTTAGTTTTTCTATTCTAAACCACACAATTAACTGAGGTTCAGGTACTTGACCAGATAAGATATTTATCTTAATGATTAAGTCATATATAAAAATGATTAAATTCTTTTTTTCCAAACAAAAGTTGAATTGGAGAGCTTTATCTGAAAAATTATGATAAGTAAAATAAGCTCTGCTTTTGATTACCTATCCTTCCATTTCAAGATACAGATTCTCTTAAACGTAAACCGTCCCATTGTTACATTCCCTAAGAAAAAGACAACCAAAGAAAAATACAGTATGCTATACATTGCACACAAAATACAGTAGACTTTATAGCAAAATGGTAAAAATCAACTATTATTTTAGTGTAAAAGCTTCTTCGTCCATCTGTAAACCATAAGACAAATAACCAATAAATAAATTGCATGAACCATAGACTCTTTCTAACTCAACAAACACAATGACTACATCAAACCAAAAAAATTTGGCGCCAGATACATTATAAACACCAGACATGATATATACTAATTTCATTAATATACATATGCTACATTATAAACACCAGATACCATATACACTAACTTCATTAATATACATATGCTACATTATAAACACCAAATTCCATATATACTAACTTCATTAATGTACATATTTGCATAAGACACATTGATATTCAAACATTCTGAAGCTACCGATTGACACAATACCTATACATAGAACACCACAAACACACCCAACAAAAGGCTAAACATGCAACATAGAAGTGCCAAAGCTTCAGATCCGTTAAACAAAAGAATAACCATATATAGATAGAAACTACACCAACAGAAGAGTCTGAACACCAGGATGGTCACTTTATAGGCTGCTTTCGCTTCTGTGAAGAAGCTCGTCCCATAGATGGCATTGACTGGGATGCCACCGCTTCGAGAGCCTTCCTTGATGGGGTTCGGTTTCGTTTTGACCTACCAACAGCCAAGTTCTTCTCGGAAACAGTAATACCTTCCACTTGCACATGCGCAATATCATCTAACATAGTATTTTTCTCAACATGGATAGCTTTTGCCGACCAATCAGACTTCTCATTCCTAGTCGTATTCTTGGATCGAATCCGTCGAACCTTTGGCTCAGAAGTTAGAGCAACAACCCTCGAAACCATGGCTGGCTGACCTTCTAAAGCATCATCCCCTTCCATAAAAATAGCATCCTCAGATGCAGTCTCTGTCTGAACACTTTCAGCAACATATGGCTCTTTAACAGGAGTAGCCAAATTCAAGAGTTTGTCCTGTGAAGAAAGTTTCCCACTCCTAGATGCATTTTTTGTTTGAGACCGTTGATGCTTGGTCTTCAGAACTGGACAAACACCCTCCGAAGCCATAACTGGATCAGCCTGCACATTTTTGGAGCGAGAACCCCGCTTCTTACTCTTTAAATCTGCTGATGTTGGTGCAACAACCTCAGAAAGCAAAGTAACATCCTCAGATGCAATCTTTGTCTGAATATTTTCAACAACAACTGGCTCTTTAACAGGAGCAGTTAAACTCAAGAGTTTCTTATATGAAGAAAATTTCCCAGTTCTAGATGCACCTTTTGTTCGAGAATGTTGATGCTTGGCCTTCAAAGTTGGACAAACATCCTCTGAAGGCATAGCTGGATGACTCTGCAGCACATCATCTTTGGGATTCTTGGAGCAAGAACGTCGCTTCTTACTCTTTGAAGCTACTGATGTTGGTACAACAATCTCAGGAAGCAGAGCAGTATCCTTCTCCACATCAATGACAGAGACATCATTTCCATGTTTCAGCTTCGGATCACAATATTCAGATTTGGATTTTGAAACTTCAAGAAGAATTTCAGAAACCAATGTAGCATCATGCTCTGTTGGAGGAACAAATGTATCATCCGATAATGAAGCAGATACATCATCCGAGAATGCACAACAAATGTAAGGTTCAGCCAAAAAAGATTGCCCTATCGCATGTCCAGTTGAAACCAAACGACGACGACGTCGAATAACATGTTCCTCTGGTAAGTAAACAGGTTCCCTATCAAATACAAAAAGAAGAAACAAAACAAAAAAAATAAGCACTGATAATATTAGACAACCAAGAACGAAGAAAAACAGCACTGATAATATTAGACAACCAAAAGTGAACACTAACACTGGCAAAAGCGATTCATCAATGACAGAAGACGATAAACGATTCTGAACATTTGTCCTACGTAGATGGATTTGATCATCTTCATCAGAAATATCTCTCACAGGAGAAATCGATTTACTCAACCTACAAAAAAAATACAAAGAAGAACTTGATTACGAACAGTAACCAAACTAAGAATAAAAAATTACAAACTTGTATGGACAAACCTCGCAAACAGAGAACAATCCTGCTTTGATGCAGCAGAAGAAGTCTCCCCAACAAAGAAAGAAACAGACTGTTTCACTCCCTTACCCTTTCTCCAACCAAAAAACACCCAGTAAATCTATGAAATAAACATCCTATTATAACCCAGAATCTAAGAAAGAACATACCTATAAACAGACGGGGCTTGACAAACAGATATCCCTGGAGAAAGTCGTGGCCTAAAAAATAAAGGGCGATAAAATATGAAGGGACAATAAGTTGTCTTTTCCCATGTGTCTTCAAAGATAACTAATTGTCTCCTATATAATTTGTAGAAACCGCTTTGATTGGTTAATAAAATTTCTGCACGTTTCGATAAAACAATTTCAAAGATCAATCTAATTCTATATATGGAAAAGATTCAGTGTGCAAGGCAAGAAAAACTGAGACCGATATTCTAAGAAAAATTCACAAAGATAATTTAAAACAATCTCGCTACAAGTTTGAATGATGATAAACAACATAACTACCTTCCACACTCAACGAGACAAGCTTTTCACCCCTCTACTGGCACCGCCTCCGACGCGCAAATGCAGAAGATCATGATTCATGAACTTGATTTTCGCTATGCACCTACAACTTTTTAGAGATGGAAATCAAATTTACAAACGTTAACCGGATATTACCCCTACGTTTAAAGAAGCAAATAATACGAAATAGTATTCAGTAAAAAGAAACCCACTTATTTATAATTTATAATGTAGTTATCATCATAAGCGGTTTTTTTGATTTGACCGGTTGAACCGGTTGAACCGGCCGGTATGATCCGGTTTCCTGGTCTATGATTCAGCTTCATTTCTCCGTATTCTCGTCCAATATGTGGAAAATAATTAAAAATAATATTATTTTGCTATTTTTCTATGTTGAAAATGGGACACCGTGGTTGTATAATGCTCTATTTGGTTCTTTTTTTGATGGATTATATTTTTTATACTATCGCATTTCATTTCTCTATCAATAGTGAAAAACGGTATTTACCGGTACAAAACGGTTGAATCACGGTCGTACCACAAAATACCATACCAGAAAGGAATCCGGTATAATGTCCGGTACGGTTTCCTTTACCATGCTTGGCAGGCAGTCAGTACCATACTGGAATTAATTCAAATGGTAATTAATCCCATGCACTGCACTCCATCATTGTAAAGTACGTACTACGTACTGACTTTTCTGCCAAAGGAGATTTGCCCAGTAATTCCGCTGCACCATTTCCATTACTACTTACTAAT